AATCGTTTTTATAATAGGGACGTTCATAGCCCCAAACCCACCTAAGCCTGTAAGGAACTCCACTGAAATCATGTTAAGTATTTCATCCATTTTCCTCGATTTGGTAATAACCTCCTACACAACTAGCATAAGTGGATTCAGGTTCATTTAAATTAGCAGTAGGAAATGGGATGCCTAATGTTTTAAAATAGAAATACTGAAATCCTCCCAGGCGCCTCTATCCAGGGTAACTGATACTAATAAGCTTTGCTTACCACTTACTGCAGCAATCTGCAGACCCCAAAATTTAGGCAATCTCACAATGTTCTGATTAAAATGCTCCAGACTATGCTGTTAGCTAGAACCAGGGGTACACCACAGACATCTATATGAATATTGCACGTATTCACTCAAAATGTAAAAGTTTATTTGCCCTGGCCACTCTCAAAACCTTTTTGCAAACATCTGAGTGATGAAATATCACTCAAATGAATGCTTGTAGAAAGCATAAGAGCATGCTTTGTACTCATACAGTTCAGTATTTGCACCAATAGTGGTATTTTTTCATATAGGGCACAGCTTGAAACAGCATGGAGGAATATGTCAAACTCACAACAAATTAGATAGATAGGAGTCCGAATAAGCCTTCACACCAAGAAGATTCATTCACTTACCTGCAGTTAGGCTACAAGCCAAGCACGTTTTGGGCACATGGAACCTCAGTGGAACTACACAAATATTCAATTCCTTTACTAGATCAGGACTTTATTTTGCATCTGTTATTTTGGTGATGGGAGAGGCACAGTCATGATCTAGTAGAATGATGCTGACACTAGATGATAGAAAACCTGAGTTCTGGGCTCCAACGCAGACAAGTTTGGTAACATGGGGTGCCATGACATCTCTGCATCCCTCTGTAAAATAGGGATGTGAATGCCATTTTTGGTGTAGGAATGCTAGATGTTAATTCTCACCCAATGCACCTTATTTATCTAAGTTAGACTGTCAGCTCTGGAAGGCAAGGACTGTGTTTTTTATAAGTTATGTAATCTTTTACTGTGTTGTAAAAATGCTTAATAACATTAAAATAAATATTAATATGAATGTTGGTATTGGCATCAATATCAATATTAACAATAACAGGAGAACTATAGATCTGCAAGTGTGGTAATGAGCTTGGTTTATTTCTAATACAGCAGAGGCACAGGTGTTCTAGTCCCTCACAATTAAATCAGCCATTAGCAGGATTTAAACTCTTAAAAATCTTTTAGGCACCTGTGAAATCTGTGCTAGTCCCACTGCACTTTATTTCATTATTTCTTTCCCCCTCCTCTAGCTAACTACCTTTGTGACTTTTTCTTTTCTTTCGGGACTCCCTCCATCAAGTGACATTAGAATTGATTAAGAAAGAATGGAGAATGGAGTATGTCAGGTGTCCTGCTTTCTTCACCCACAGCACAATGGATAGGACTCCCTTACACTAACCAGACATGAAAAATAAGAGTCTTGACGTTCCAAATGGAACTTCCCTTCAACAACACTTCTGTTAAATCTTCCAACCTAAAGTGACTTTTTTTCCTTAATTTCCCTTCCAAAAAACCCACCACCACCAACAAAACAAAGTTCCGTCAGAACGCTTACCAGGCAAGCAGGATTTTTTACTAAATCACACAGAAACAGGAGGTAAAAATATATTAAATACAGGAACTCTGTAATTGACTAAAAACAAGTCAAATTTGTTGAATTTTATTATTTTTGCTTTTCAGAAACCAACAAATATGTGTTTATTTGCTTGAATTAGACTGATGAGTAAATTACTAAGCACACTACAGTAATGTGAAACTATAAGAAAAAATAATTTGGCTGTTACAAATATTTGCCAAACAACACTACCTTTAATGTAACTCTTCAGTAATTAGAACCTCAAGGGACTACCTTCCCACCTTTATCAAATATTCGGGTATGTTAATTTCCATCATAGTGATCTAATCAGTTTAGGTGTATCATCCAAGTAGTTTCATTAAGCAACTGAAAGTGTCACTTGTAAACATAGTGCACTTCAGTGTGTCAAGGAACAGGGCAAAGTACACTGCACTCAAAAAGCAAGTGATATTTTACATACAATCCCATGCTAAAACAAGAGTTTATCTGGGATTTAAATGGGTGATACATGTGCTATTAAATATGGGATCTTCCTAGAGATGTGAGAAGTTTCTCATACAAAGGGCCAAATGTTTGCAAAATGTTTCCACAAAACACACACAATTTCCCCTGCCTGGCAAATATAGTGCTGTATGCATGTGCATGCTTGTGCGCAAGTTCCCCTTCTCCTGTCTTGCTATCTGTTCCAATGTGTCCCATTATGTGTAGTATGCATGGATGGGAATATCGGCTTTGAACGAGTAGCAAATGTAAGAACATAATTTGAAGAGACAATTTTGTGCTTGCAAATTGGCCTAAAATGTGACTGAACATAGTTTTAATGTAAAGGCCAATGGAAATTTGAAGAATATATTCTTTTCTTTTTTTTCTGATTGTAAAGCAATAGTATCCTAAGAGGAGTTAAGTCCATATCCTGATCTCAAGTATGTCAGGTGGAATCCTTGCTATTGATTTTAACAGGAAACTAGGTAATGCATGTCATTCATTTTTGCCAGGTGGGGACAAATCACTCTGACAAGACTGCTAAAAGGTTGAAGGTGTTACCTGAAGTCTGTATTAGAAGATTAATTTTATATAGATGACCATCAGATGTTACAGCGCAGAGAAAAGCGTCCCTTGGCAGAGATTCCCCTTTCTACTTTCACAAAATTAAGTTCTTCAAACATTTTGTGTAATGGAAAGAATCAAAGCAAGAGATAGAATACAATGTCCTTCATGCCCAGAATATCTCCTCCTAAAAGTTCCTTTAAGTCTCTCACTCCTTCTTATTCAAATGCCTTCTAAAAAAAATCTTACTTTTGTGTTAAAAAGTTAAATTATATATATTACATTTATATTTATATATAATTTCATATTTCATGCTTGTTCTTGCTGTGAGTGCAGGACACTGAACTTGATGACCTCTCGAGTTCCTTCCAGCCCTATGATTCTATGTTTCTATATTAATAAATCACAACAACAATTATGGAATGGAACTATCAAAACGTGCATGTGCCCTATTGAGTATCCCAGGAGGTGATCGGTGCAGCCCTTGTTATTCTTTCCTTCCCTCTTTTTCTCCATGTGTGCTCCTCCAATTGTTATGTCAACTCCAAATTTCAATTTTAAATGTAACTTTGGATGAACTAGAGTTTATTGTTTATGAACACAATTCCCACAGAAAAGTACATAAAGGCCCAAGAAGACTGACTGAGAATTTTCAACAAGTATTGGATATGGTCATTTTCATCACAATCAAATCCAAAAAGACCAATAGGAATGAACTTAATTCTTAAGTATCAACTTTATCAAATCTTATGATAAAGAAAATAAATAATAATAATAATAATAACTTTATTTCTGTGACATAACATGGCTCCTTTAGGATCCACCTACATGATCATCACAATTATACATAAACATAAATGAAGAAAGCAAATTAAATCTAAACAGGTTAGTCACCACAGAAACATAATGAGAAGTAACACAAGAGTTCCCAAAAGCTTAAGTTGAGTTTACCTGGGTTTCAGTTACAGTGTTTGATGACCAAAATCTGTAAATCTGCTGAGTCAAAAGTATTGCAACATTTTCTCTTGCTCTTAGAAATCTCTGGAATCTACCCAGACGCTTTTCCCTTCACTGCTGAAATCACCCTGTTACCTACTCAGCTAATTAACCAATGTACAGGCTACTTCTAAACTGCATCCCTCTGTCGACAGAGGGATGCAAATCAAGCATGTTGAAATTGCTAATGAAGCAGGGATTTAAATATCCCGTGCTTCATTAGCATAAACATGGCCGCCGCTTTTTTTTCGAAACGGAGCTTTTTAAAAAAACGGCAGTCTAGATGAGGATCTGTCAAAAATAAAACCTTTTTCAACAGGTCCTGTATTCCTCAAAAAAATAGATTTAAAGGATCTGTAGAAAAAAGGTTTATTTTCGACAGATCCGCATCTCGCCTGCCGGGGTTTGGGGTTTTTTTTCAAAAAAAGCTCCATTTAAAAAAAAAAAAGCAGTGGCCATGTTTAGGCTAATGAAGCGCAGAATATTTAAATCACTGTTTCATTAGCAATTTTGACGTGATTGATTTGCATCCCTCTGTCAACAGAAGGATGCAGTCTAGACGTAGCTTGTGAGGGGCAAGTACCATAGGCTCAGGAAGGCTTTGCCTTCCCAAACTGCTTATGTGGCGCATTCTTGCTTCACTTCCAGACCCCTTCCTGCATGCTGTTCTAATGCCTGAGGCTGGGGCAGACAATCTGGTGGTCACACTGTCCTTCGGGTTCTGGGGCTCATAGCTCAACTGCAGGAGGGTGGCTTGATGTGTGGGCATGTCTGTTGGACCAGCAGGGTCCAGGAAGGCTGAGGCCACACCAGCCGACTTTCCAAAGCAGAGGGAAGCTTGAACCATGCCTCCCAGTGCTCTGGGCTCAGGGGAGTCTGGAGCCACGCTGCCCAGCTCTCAGGAGCTGCGGGAGGCTGGGGCCATTCTGCCCAGTTATCCAGGGTCAAGAGAGGCTGGGGTCATGATGCTCAGTGCTCCAGAGCTGAGAGCACTGACTACCTTGGGGCAGAGACCAGTGGCCATAGTGTGTGTGGTGGGGGGTGGCTAGAGGGGCTGGATAGGGGCCAGCAGCTATAGTGGGTCTGGGGCTGGGCTCTGGTGGGTGTGGAAGGGGCAGGGCCTCAGGTGGAAAGGGTAGGGCTGTAGGGCTAGCCTCCCCAAGCCAAGGTTTCACCCTCCACACTTGTCATGCCCCCCCCCATGCTTTATGACAATTGGCCTATGAATATGCATAACTCAAAGATGCATAGACAAAATATATCATGCAACAGATAGCTTACAGCACATCTGTGTTGCTCTGCATGCCGACAGTTACCTCAGTTCTGTGCCTTGGCTGCGGGAGAGCAGAGCTACTGGCTCAGCAGGACAGGGTGGTGGGGAGCTGCAAAGGACAGGAAGGCAGGCATCAGTGTTTTGATCAGCCCACCGGGGGATAACCCCAAGGGGATTTCTGTGATTGAACCTGTCACAGTCCCTGTTAGACAACCAATTTAAAGACACAGATTTTAGAAAAACTTCTGCAGAATGCTTCTAGGTTAGGTAAAAAACCCTGCTTTCTGCTCCCAAGGCTCAGCGTCTTCCAACCCACACACGGTACGTATAAAAGCAGCTGCCCTGACTACTTGTGGTCATGGTGTCTATTGGGACCTATTGAATATACCCCAAACACCCAACCCCAGAAACTTCTGACTATGGCGTGTTAACTGTGCAGCAAATGACTACTAATTTCTATCCCTCCCTTCCACAGATCTCTTAAAGAGATCTCTCTCTATTGGGCACAGAAGAAGGGACCTTTGGGTGAAATCCTGGAACACTGAAGTCAATGTCCAGCTTTCATTAATGTCAATCAGGCCACAATTTCTTCCTATGTCTTTAACTCTTGGATGCCATAAATACTAAATAATAAGACTCATGCTGCAATAGTTGAAGAAGGAGCAGCAGTTACTTACCATCATACACCAACTGTAGCTATGTTGCTAGAAGCACAGTTTTTTGTTATCGGATGCCTTTGGTAACAAAGTAGGACAAAATATCCATTGGCTTCTAGTATTCTGAATTAGCCTCAGCCCCAGCAATGACTCATATGAAACAAATAATAATCACATAAGGGGAGCCAAGAAGCAAAGCCAAAACTCAGCGAGGCACATAACAAAACCTTGACTTTTGGTATAGTCCTCATGGGTTCCATGATTTTCTTACTTGAAAAAGATCCATGACTTTTAACATTCTGAGATTAATGCATATGATTGGGTGGATATGGTAGTTACAGTCAAACAAACTTTAGCGAGAGCCTTGGGCTGCACAGGATACTAAATAGGGATTCAGAGAACAACAACAGCATAATAGTAACACAAAGAAAAATGCCAATGACCTATCCTTGAACGTTTATTTTCCAGTGAGTCCTCATTTCCCAGTTTTTCCTGCCTCGCAACTTTACACTGATAAATAGCTAGGAATGCAATATGCTGAGAGGCAGGCTAAGTTTACAGAGTACTTCTCTATGGCAATTTTTCTTTTTTAAAATTGTTATCAATAGCAATAAAAAATAAAGGCTCAAAGAGGTACAAGATAATATTAAAAACATGAATTTGAATTCCCTTTCCCTGTCTTTTGCATCATGAACATCATTTGCTTTTTCCAAATCACTACTATGGGGGAAGGGAGAAATGGTCTTACATGTGGCTCCACATTGGCTCATTGTGCCCTCTCTTACATTTTTAGTCAGTGGGACTGCTCACATTGAGCTCACATAGAGCTGTAGGAATACAGGAACCTCGTTTGTTGAAAAAGGCACTACAGACAAAGGTTTTCAGCACTTACCATGAAATTCACCCCTGAGTAGGGCATAAGACCTATTCACTGCTTAAATTCCACTTCAGCTGGCTTTTTTCTAAAGGGTGCAGCACTGAGCACTTTTGAAAATCGGACCAGTTATTTTAGATTCCTAATGGAGCTGTGCTCTTTTGAAAACCTAGCACTTAGGTCTTAAGTGGGACTTCAGCAGTACATTGGCCTTGTACTGATTTCCTCCACCAGCATGAATTTCATCCTGGGGGATTAAGGGAAAGGGGTGCAGCTCATTTCAATTGCTGTCATTTTTTTCATGAACATATTTTGTTAACATAGACATCAGAAGGGACTATATATTTCCACAAAAGTGGGTTGCCTTTTGATATATAGTGAAAAGTTGCACTTACACTTCAGTTTACCGTAAACTAGTAATAGCCAGAAAGTTTCACTGTGCAGGAGTCGATACCATGCACAGGAACATCAGTGGTCACCTGTTATTTTTGTTATTAGCTGTTTGATTTATTGAGTTGCTCAGCTGCAGCTGGCAAGGACCCAACTTTTTGTTGATGGTTGATTTTGAGTGTGTGACAAAGTTCTTTTCTCCTTCGCAGAGGATACCAAAAGGCCAAGCCCTATTGCTTGCTTATGAATGGGAGGCTGGCTTTCACCATCTGGCCTCTTTTAGTGTGATAAGAGCTGTAGGCCAGATGCTTGGTTTGCTTCAAAGAAATGAGATGAATACTGCTTCATTAGGGGCAAGATTATCCCTGGTTTCTGGTCAGGTACATAGAGTGTGGGAACAAGGAATCTTCTCCTTCCAGCATATCTCCACCATACACCACCTGTGCTGTGTAGGATAGAAGGATTCATCTCTAATCCATCTGTGGGCTAATTTGACTATGACAAATCAGGAAAGGGATCTTGGAGTTATCGTGGATAGTTCTCTGAAAACTTCCACACAGAGTGCAGCGGCGGTCAAAAAGCCAAATAGGATGCTAGGAATTATTAAGAAAGGGATAGAAAATAAGACGCAGAATGTCTTACTGCCCCTGTATAAAACTATGGTACGCCCACATCCTGAATACTGTGTACAGATGTCGTCTCCTCACCTCAAAAAAGATATTTTGGCCTTGGAGAGCGTTCAGAAAAGGGCAATTAAAATGATTAGGGGTTTGGAACGGGTCCCATATGAAGAGAGGTTAAAGCGACTGGGACTTTGGAGCAATTTGCACCGTCGACCGAGAGGGGATATGATAGAGGTATATAAAATCATGAGTGGTGTGGAGAGGGCCAATAAAGAAAAGTTATTTTTCCGCAAATGCTTTTAATGGAAAAACTTTTCCATTAAAAGCATTTGCGGAAAATCATGCCAGTCTAGACGTAGCCTTTAAAATGTTCCACCTGTTTTGTTGCAACTTCAGACATCAGAACTATCAGTCCATAATCTTTCCTAAGCATTAAATTCACTCATATTTTTAGAAAAGAACACTAACAGACTCAGCACAAGAATTCAAAATGACACATGCAGTTTTGTCCCAATACGCTAAAAGTAACAGCTACAATAGCTCATGATAAAGAATGATATTTGCATAATAGTGCAACATATATGTGCCACTACTTTTATTATTCATCTCTTGGGGTTTTTTTTATGCATTTTCTGTGTAAGCTTCTTCTGGTGGAAACCAAGGAAGGTATGCCTTATTAGAAAAGGTGTTACTGATGTGTTCACTGAGCCTTTTTTAATAAGAGATATGACAGAATACCTTTATTTGTACCTTTCATTTAATGTTAAAGGTAAATTTCTTTTTTCTCTGTCAAATGCAATTTTTACAAGCATCTCTCCATTTAACAGGTTCTCCTTTCAAAGTCATCTTACCAAAAATAAAACAATCAGCACTTCTAAATTCATTTAAATATACCAAAGAGATGCCACCAACATATTCTGTGGACACTTCAAATTCTGAAAAAGAGCAGATGATTTTAACAGTTTTTCCTCACACAGTCCACTTCAGCAAGATTCCCTGGGGTTTACAAAACTTGTGCATTTATTGCAGACAGTTAGTTTCATTCACCAAACACACAATATAAACCATTCTGTTCTGTACCTTCGTTAAAAAAAAGAAGCAGCAGCACAGAGATAATAGTATATCTTGAAGAACATGCTTTTTAGTGCTTGGTTGTTCAAAAATGAAGTCACACAAAAAAACTGTCACAGTAATTATTTATGATTAAAAACATGTGAAGGCTATGGTGACTTTGTATTTGGAGTCTAGTATATGTCAATTGTTTTATTCATGATAAACAGATCATTTAGTTGGAAAAATCCCATCTGCCTAGATATATCTCTTATTATTTATGAGAACCATGTTTAGGAATGCAGGCAGCACATGTGCATAATTAATCCTGAAGAGAATTAGACATTGTTTGATTCACAGCTGAATGCAATTAGCATTAGGAAGTTTACATATGTTGGCAATAACAGAGATTAGCAACTAAAGTGCTTGTTAAAAAATTTAACCTGAGGCTGCTGGAGCAGACCTCTCTTAATGATGCTTTAAATGTTGTTGATGAAGTAATAATCAATTTTGTTTTATAAATAGTAAATCAAGAATTTAGGTCTAATTAGCAGTGCTACAGATCACTTCACTTACATATCCAGTGAACATGTGATGTGGCTATGAACTTTCTTTGAGTCTGGTGTTCAAGCAGTTGTTAAGGGAAGGATGCAATCCCTTTTGTAGAAGGATGGGGGGGGGGGAACCACAGATGGAGAAGAAAGAGATGTCTATGATGGGAGTTGACTCTGTGTGAGAGCACTCAAGAAGAGAATCATTTTTCCTTCATCCTTCCAGAGCTTTTTAACTGAAGGATGGAGAAACAATGCCTTGTCTGCCTTTTTAAAATATAATAATTAGATTATAATTCACCAACTGTGAAACGAAGTCCTCTAATGGAGAGGGAGGAGGAAGAGAGAATGTAAGTGATGAAAATGAGGAGGCAAAGTAAAATTGAGCTGTAATTGTTTTCACTTCAACTTTGAGAAGTTCAACATTAATTAAAATGTTTCTGCACCACTCACCAGCAGATTGGCACAAGAGAGGACTAGCTAGTATGTGCAGCTGCTGACTGGCAGGGATGTCAAGGAGACCGCTGCCAGGAAGGCTGCAGTTTGACGCAAATATATATATCCTAAGGACTATTTCAATTAGAGCAAGCAATTCTGTTTAATTCAAGTAACAACCTAATTCTCCCAATTTGGAAAGAAGCTAACTCTGCCCTGATGCAGCTGATGACAGTTTGAAAATTATTGAAAGGGTTATCTTCACTATTATTTATGCTTGGGTTATTTCTCTTCTCATAAGTAGGAGTTTATGGGGGTGACTTTCAGAGGTACAAATACCCAATTTGGAACTTACCTCCTATTGAAAGCCAGTGGGAGCTGGCTGCCTAAAGTGCCTCACTCCCTGGGTGCATCTAGACTGGCAAGATTTTGTGCAAAAGCAGCCACTTTTGCGCAAAATCTTGCCACCTCTCTACACTGGCTGCAAGTATTTGCGCAAGAACACTGACTTTGTATTGTACAAAATCAGTGG